TGGGACTAAATTGGACTTTCGTCCTCCCCAGGGAGAGGAGCAGAACCTTCCCTGGGTCTGGCTCCCCGCTGAACAGGCAGCTTTCTGGGCTGAGCAATAGCTGCCTTAACTCATCACTCCCCTGTCAGGCTGGTCATGACCTCACCGAATCATACTTCAGTTCCCTTTTGCTCTTTCAGAGGGGCTAACGATCACTAATTCATTTGATGATCATGTCGGGGTGCAAACGGTCTCTGATTAAACCCCAACGAAACTATATTCAGGAGGGCAGTGTCATATACGACCGAAGCACGTTACATAACTTCTGGCAACTCGCCACAGCCCATTTTTTTTTCAACCCATAAATACATTCTTTCCCAAACACTTTGAGCAGTCTGCAGGATAAAATGTGACCATGAATAGCTTTTGTCCTATGTCAGCTTGAGGCCCCTCTGCCTTTCATGTCTGGAGGCCTTGTAGCCAGCACCCTCCTTTTTAGGGGCGAGTTACCTCTCATCCTCTCCCACCCTTTCCTGCCCTCCTCCTGCTGCGGCAGGCACACCCCTTTGCTCGCTCCCCCCACCTCTTCAGCCCCCTCCAACCAACCTCTAAAACAATCCCCTCCGATTTCTGTTCAGGATGGGCGAATCAAGACAGGGAGGCAACGCAGCCTCACTTCTGGGCTGATGAGTATTTATTCAATGTCACCTTCCTGGTCTGGGTAATGACTGGCTTTTGAAGATCATTTTTACTTCCTCTGTGTGTAAGTGTAATAAAATTCCTTTAACTACTTAGTCAACTACCAGCGCATCTAAACACTGCATGCAGAGCCGCATATTTATGCCGTTTGGTTGTCTCTTTCTATCTTAGATTGGTGCTCTGTCTATATACACACATATGTACATATCACCAAAAACAAGATACAAAGAAAACAAAACGTCTGTTGTTTAAATATGTCTCCCCTGTCCTCCACAAGAATTCCCCGTCTTCACAAATGTGAAGGACATCTGTTTTACAAACCATTTTTGCTTGGCACTGGCCCAAACTCCGCTGATACCCGGGATCAGTGAGATCTCTCAGAGGCTGGGCTTCCACGAACACGTCTTGCTTTGGGTGAAATTATTGCGCTGGGAATCGGCAACTTCGTGCGCAAGTGAAATTCTCGATCCTGTTTCACCAGCAGGAAAAAAAAAAAAGCGCCCATCTACTTTCCTTGAAGGCCAGTGTGCGTGACTACCTACATTCTCAACCTCCAGAAAATCAGAAAACGCTGGAGTGATGATCCACTTAGCAGGGCTAAGTGAGAGACCCACTTATTTCGGTGTTTAAAAATCACTAATAAAAGCAGTCACAACTCTTCA